TCTTTTTTTTTTTTTTTTTTTTTTTTTTTTTTTTTTTTTTAAGATAGGACCTTAGCTTCCAGATTTAAATATATGTGAGTGACTGCAGGTGGCTGTGTCTCTGGAACGTCCTCTGCAGGATACACTCAGTTTGCCACTGCAAGCAACGTACAAACTCAGAAGTAACCTCTCTTCTTTGTAACTAAATATTTAGCTCCTCGAAGTATGCGCTATGGTGTCTCAGGCCAATTCAAATATCATAGCGTGGGTCTTTTTCTGCCCCCACAGTACTCTCTTTAATAGGACTCGGAGGGGAGGATGATCGAATGCTTCACAAGTAAACATAGCTGGAAGGATGGGAGGTAACTAGCATTCTTCTTCTTCTTAATCATAATTACGAAACATTAGGGATGAAAAATATGGAAGCAGTTGCCTTTGCGTATCTACGTAGCTAAAGCCTCAAGTATTTTTCAACAGTCCAATGAAGAGAGGAGTGTTACAAAGCACAGCCACGGGCTAGCAACAGCAGCACCGGACCGGGCGAGGGGCTGGAGGGTCTGGGGCTGGAAGGTGCCGTGTCCTGCGCACCAGTGTGCTGGAGACCTGGAATGCCGCCTGGCAAAGGAAGAACGTGGTGCAACACGCAAGCAAAGCCAACACCCAAATTCAATCATAATTTTCTGTGTTTTCTGACATATACCATTATAAATGCGGACTACTCTTCAGAGCCACCTACGTACTTGCAATACCTATGTACCTACTACACTACTTTTCCTTCATTATTAAAAGTGCTTTTCTGATCCATACGCTTAAAATTTCTCATCTCTTACTTTTTTTCTTTTGAACAGCAATTCTGCATTATAACCCCCAAAATAAATGACATTCTTCCAAAATCCTCCCTGGTAAAGGGTATATTCCTCCCTAGCACACACACGCATTATTCCCACTGATGCTAAGAGGACCCGTGCACACATCCTGAGGTGTGCCTAACCTGAGCGGCTACCAAAACGTTTTCAAGATAAAGACTGTATTTAATTCAGTTTTTCTGATGATCAACCAATAACAGCAGAATTATACACCTTTCCCAGAAGGCCACACTCCAAAAATGAACTGTACTTAAAAAACTCTATTTGGTTATAATTTACTCACAGACACATCCAAAGTAAAGAAAGGACTTCAAAACCAAGCTGAATTTGTGATACCCTAGTTAAAGATGTATTAATTTGTAATCGCTGTTATTCTAATGCAGGACAAGCCCTAATCAAACTAATGGCAAAATTAAAAGCAAGTCTTTAAAGCCTTTAAACTGACTTCACTTTACTCAGTGATGTCTGTGCTAGCAAAGATTTTAGATTTTTTTTTTTGTGCACTAGGAATGGCCAATCACAAGAATTCAGTTATTCTACTGCTACTCACACCCACACAATATTCAAACATATACACAGTGGGCAATCTATAACAGATGCTTGAAAACTTAGGTAAAATTAAATACTTAAAATAGAAGAAGCAGAAGTTGAACATAATCAGGAAGATGTGGGCTTTGATTATCAGTTCGAAAACTGAAATATGCCAAATGTGACAGACCTAGCAAATTCTTCAGCACCACAATTGTTGAAAAACTGCTTCAAAACCCATTCCCAAAATCAAACACCAGCAATCATCATCTTCCCCTTATTTTACACTGGCTCGCACTTAGATTATGAAAAATGCTTTTACTGCAGAAACTAAGGTAAACTACTCAGAAAATTTTAGAAAATCTGGGAAAATCAGTTTTATTTTGGCAAGTGTCCTAAAAAAAAGAATATAAAAAAAAAATAAAAACCCAGCTTCATTCTAATGGATGTGTATTGTTCAATTTAAGTAACAGGTATTAAATCACTTTACAAATACAATACAAATTTGAGGTAACTCCATGGGAGTTTTCTTAAAAATAATTTCAGTCTTCACCAATTCTCCCTGTTAAGGTCAGAGTCTCTAAACCAGCATGGCTGAATTGTTTTAGTGCTCTCTGCTGAACACCTGCAAACATCAAACAAAAACTCCTGGTCCTTTACTGGGTTGACAAAAGCCTTTCATGTGAAAAATGCTCCATGGGAATGTCACGGCTGTGGCTCAGGTTACATTCCTTTCTCCCTTGCAGCCCTCACCATTTCTTAACATGGTAAGAAGCCATGTTTGTGAAATTAAAGATTAAAAGGAAATGTGGCTTTACTTTATTTTCATTCACACATTACAAATCACAATAGAGCATCATATATTAGATGAGTAAAAAGCTATTAAGATGACTTTAAGCATGAAATATTACCACACTTGCTAAAGTACAGTTATAGTTTCACTTCACTGCTTGGGATTACTTTTCTTTGGGGTCTTTTTTTTTTTTTCCCTCCCCCCCCCGTAAGATAAGTTTCAGGTTAATGCAGAGGAATGACATCTGCGGTTCCCCATCTCAGTAAATACAATTTTTAAAAGAGGACCATTAAGAGAAGGTCAGCTCAAACTTCAGAAGGGCATCTGTCCAGGAGGAAGACCAAGCTGCATTCAGATCACTAAAATTCTGTGTTATCAATATGCATAATTAGAATAATAAACTGTGTTCCTATGTTATTAATGGGGCTATCTTTAATCCTTCCATATAGTTACAGAAAACATCTCTTGAAGCAGTTGTCTGGGTGCTATCATATCAAATCTGAATTTCCCAAGTCCTGGCTCATTACAACACCGCACACCAAATATTCTGAAGCAGCAAGACTCTCGCACACAGCTAGCTGGCCAGCAAGAGCACAGGGAAACAATAGCCACGCTTCTCCTTCTCGCAACTGTATCTTCAGGCCACACATCCACCCTCTCACCGAGTATCAGTGAGGGGCAATTCACTGATACCTAGATTCTGACAACTTTTTTTGAAATCACCGATCGCTCACTACAAAACTCCCTGTCTAATAACCAAGCAACAGATCTTTATATAGGAAATTCAAAATTATTTTCCTTTAGAAGACAGTACGCTGTGCTGCATGCCATTGTGCAAACAATCTACCAACATACAGTATACGTTCCTTTATCAAGCAGGGTACTTCATCCTCCACCATCAGAGACTGGCGTATTCAAGCATTCACATGTTGTTAACAGTATGGGAGAGTTCAGGTGTTATTTTAAATAGTCTATATCTTAATATTACTAATGTACTTCAGCACATTAAATTATTCGTATATCTAAAATGATGCGTCAAAGTTACTTTAATCTTTCAGATTTAGAGACAATAAAAAACCATATAACCCCTTGATTTCACTCACTGTTCAGATTTGCTATCCTGTGGTATTTCTGATCAAAATGACTTCATAGATGATGTTTACGATGCATTTATTAAATATAACTATCTAGTCAATTGCTGTTAGACCAAGTGTTAGTTGCTGCATTGACTGGTATATAAGCATGACAAATTGATTTGTCTGGCACAAACACTCTTCGCTTCTCTCCAGCGAAAACAAATATACTGAATATTATGTATTCGGATAAATCAGTTATTAAAATTATGTAATTCAGAAAATGACAAAAAATAGGATTAAAACCTTTAGCTTGCGAGATATAAAGAAAATTACATTTGGAAACCTATTCAAACCTAATAGTAAAATTCACCAAGTCACTATATTCATAATATAACCAAATTTGTGAAACAAAACCAAAAACATGTTATTTTGAAAGTCTGAATAGAATAAAATTCACAAAATGAGTACTTAATAATTGTTGGTGGCATTTGATCAAAATTTATATTACAGACTACCTTCAAATTAGGAAGTCCTTCTTTGGAAATAAGAAGTTAATTGACATACTAGTGCATTTAATAAAAATGGCTATACTGAATACACAGAAGAGGTTCCTTTAATTGAGTACAAACTGCAAATAGCAGGCATGAAACTATATGCAATGACGTGTTTATATCTAGATATCCACTGGCAGTTTGCAGTGAAGACTTGTCCAAATTTACCATCTGATTTAGAACAGTACTCTGTGTATAACAATACTACGTACAGTGTGTTGGTATGTGTAATTGCCTGTGCTTTTAAAACACTGCAGCTCTCTACCCGGAGATGTATTTGTGTCCTGTCCAAAACACCACATCCGCAAGGCAGGGAACCCTCTTAAATGAACTTAATAGAAGAGTAAGGAAATTTCAAATGCGTAAGTATCCTTGCTAGTTTTACTTCTAATTTGTCAGGCATATAAAAACCTGTATATAAAACTTCAGTTGCCAGACAATTATTGTACACATATGTTCTACCACAAAGAGCTCTGATATTTCTTTTGTCATCAAACAGGACTCCTGTTTTTAGGGAATGCAGAAGTTGCCCATATAGCACTACTACAGCCAAATAAACAAACATACAAACAAACAAATCCTCCAGTTAAATTTCAGGGACTCTTCAAAAGCAGTCAAATATTTAGAAAGAAAATGCCCTGTCTTCTACCAGGAAAAGAAATCAGCCCGAAGATTTTAATTCACCGACAAATATTCCATCAGCAAACAGTGATCTCTAATACTAAAGAGTTCTTTTCCCGGAAGAGGTTGGTGTTTATACTCAGATACTTGCTTATTTATTTATTTATTTATTTTAAGCAGCCTTCAACTCTTATTCACAAAATTCATTCTCATGCAAGATGTTTTGATTATCATCTCTGAGATACAAAACACAGCATCTGAAATTGTAAATAAAAATCTCCAATGCTCAATTGAAAAAAAGAAAAAGATTTAAACTAGCTCACCTTGAACAATTATACAGAGGAGAAGTTTGGGGGGGGGGTTAAAAATATCATAAATGTATGGAAATACTGTCAAAATGTCCCAGTCTTGTGGAAATAATAAGTAGTAATAATAATAACAACAGTCAGCGCTTAGGAATAATTCCGCTCAGATCTGAACGAATCTGCTCCCCAGAAGATATTAACACAACCACAACAAAGGTAATGCCTATGGATAAATAACTAACAACATTTTAACTACATATGAAACAAAAAATTTTACATACTTGAGCCAGTAAAATGTCCACTTGCCAAGGAAGTTGGTCCATTTTTCCCACTGCTCACAGGAGGTGAAAACATCTAAAAAAAACAAAGAGGCATTACTACTGGAAAACAAGAGATTCCCGAGTCCACTGTTAGTCAAAAGTTCCTTCCACATTCGCTGTGAACTACGTTCAATAGTTTGTCTACCACGAAACATCATCCCCCACAGACCTGAAAATGAGTCAGTATTTCTTACAGCCCCCACCAGCCCCTCACCACCATCATCACGTTTTTATTAGGCTCATTAGCTCCCCAAACAATATTCGCTTCCCGAAGAGTTTGAGCAATCCCAGTCCCCAGCAGCGTTATCCAGGCTGGGAAGCGGGGCTCGCTCCCCTCTCCAACTCTCACGCTGACAAAGGCGAAAAAAGTTTTTTTGCTGAAACCTTGGCCATAAATGTAGCAATGTCCATTTCCATCCCGCTTTACGATTTGCCTGTCATATGTGAACCCAAATAATAATAATGCAAAGTGCCACCTGCCCTAAATTCTCATTTCGTCTCTAACATGAGAGCAATTTGAAGCAAGGCTCTCTCCCTCTCCCCCTCTCTCTCCCTCTCTCTCGCTCCCTCTCTCTCTCCCTAGCATTTATTTCGACCCTAATTGGTTTCTCTCTTCTTCGACGTGTCTAGTGGATAATACGCACCTTCCCTGAGTCAGAGCCTGCAAAAAGCGAAGGAACAAATGGAAAAAGTGCAACAAGCAAAGAGGGGGCTGCAAAGCTGCCTCAGGCTACGTTTCCTGGCCAAACTTCCCCAAGCCATTCCTCCAAAGCAAAGTCTGGAGCAGCAGCAGCAGCACCAGCCTGAAGCAGCCTCATTTACACGGGGGGGTGGGGGGGAGGCAGGTTTTTGCGGGGTGTTGCTGGTCTTTAGGAACATACATGCATCTCACAGCAAACTGATTCTCCCCTTAAATAAATAAATAACTGGATAGATAGATACTCCTGACATATTGGGGGGAAGGGAGGGGATGGGGAGAGGAAGGAAGGGGCTGGGAGGGGGAGGGGGAGCCTGACAAAACTAGACAAGTGCACACGTCCGGATTAACGTTTGGCCTCCAAACCAGCCCGGCCAGGAGCAGCCCAAAGAGACAAAAAGTACTTCTTTTTTTTTTTTTTTTTTTTTTTTTAAAAAAAAAACCCACCTTGCTGGGGGGCTTCGGAAAAGATTGGAGCAGTTTTAATGACAGCAGAAGCCATATGAGATTTCAGTGAAAACTTTAAACTGAGACAGTCATGGATTTCTTTGCACTTTCCATGTGCCAAAAAATGAAACAAGGGAAGAACTGAAAATAGAATATAAGCAACTAATTAGCAATTAATTAGTTCATGTGCCAACAACGCTATAAAACGTAAAGCACAGTAAAAGTGCTAGATATTGTTATTAACTAATGATGAGAAATGTTCGGTTTTAGGGGCATCTCTTTTTGTATGAATTATTTTAGACATCCAAGACATTAAAATAAGCTGTGAACACGATTGCATCTCCCATCACATACAATAAGAAATAATAAAAAGACTCTAATTTTTTTCTTTTTTTTTTTTTTAAAGCAGAAAGATATTTACCATGGTTCTAGCTGCTGATTAAAAATTGCCCAATGTACTTAGATCACAGTTTTGTTTTGTTTTTGTTGGTTTGGTTTTTGGTTTGGTTTTTTTTTTTTTTTAGTTTAACAGATCAGCTAGAAGATATTTTTTTACAGCTGTTGTTAATTTCCACCGTTGTTTCTTACCGCACTGAAATCCAGTAAATCACTCAGTTCTTTGTCCGTCCCTAAGGCAGCCATTCGCTGTTGGTGATGCATTTTAGCAAAATCACACAAACCTAGAAACATGGAAATAACCGCAATCAGAAACCCAGTCCCGAGCCTTGCAGGAAACACAATCGGATTTTTCAGGGGGGTGGGGGTCGGGGGTGGGTAGTTGAGAAGAAGGGAGGGAAAAAAGATGGAGGGACAGCAAAAACAACAACAACAAAAAAGCGATATTGTATTTCCAAAGAGGCGATCGAAACCCGGTAACATCCACTCTAAACCCAAATCCGGAGGAGAAAAAAAAAGAAAAAGCCTCGCTCCCGGAGCATCATTTATGCAACAGGAGGTTCAGCGAGGAATGAATGAGGATCCCAGAGAAGAAACTACAGCCATCCGCTCCCAACTTTTTCCCTTCTCCTTCTTCCACGCAAAGTAGCGTTTAGAGGCAGAAACGGCAAAGAGCGATAACAGCAATGAAAAAAAAAAAAAGAGATGCAAAGTCGCAGGCTACGGAGGCGCCGGTGCGGAGGGACGCGGGGCGGGGGTGGAGGGGCCGGGAGGGAAGCAGAGAGCAGCCTTTGACAATTAGCCCCAATTTCTAATTTGCGGAGGGGAGGGGGGGTTAAAGAACACCACCCCGGGAGCGGCTCGGGCCTGTGCGGAGTCATCGGTTCCCTCCGAGCGCCCG